GAATGCAATCATAATGTAGAGTGAAAGCACAAAGAGGATCCTCCAGTCACAGAGTCAGGAAGCCTCAAAGCTAGAACTCAAGTCATTGATTATCTGAGTTCAAATGTCAGTACCTTTCACCACCCTAGCTGTATAGTTATAGCCATCAGGGCCCTTAGTAATACAAATAATAGTTCTGAGGATGGGCAGTGTTTATGAACGAAGAGAGGACACTGGGAATTGCGATGCAGTGGGGTGATCCAGAAGCATTTAAGTCCCAGAATGCAGATGGTACCCTCAAGGTGACCAGGGCATGGAGATTCTCAGGGAAGCCCTCCCCTGGAGCAGAACTGATGCTAGCTAGAGCTTAGAGATATCACTGAATGTTTCACTGGGACACTGTAGGTAGGAAACCAGACTGGTCCTAGGAGAGACAGACTGAGAAGGGGTGGTGGTGTCTCAAAAATTAAGCAGAGTGGAGATAGAAGAATAAAACCAGACAATTCTTGGGCTGGCAGAACTTGCCCACTGTCTAAGGCCATTATCACCTGTTTGTTTCTTTCTAGTCCAATAGATCCTGATGGGACAGCATGCCTTTTTTGAAAACATTGTCTTTGTTCTCAAACTTTGCATTTTCCTCCCTTCTACATGCCAGATCTGAAAGGAATCTGTAGGAATGCTTTGCCTCTGACTAGAGGCTGGTACCCAGGCAGATCTTGTACAGACAGGACAAAGCTGTGGGACTCGTGACATTTCAGAGCCACACCTGTGGGGTATGTGATCATAATTTTCTCAGGGGGCAAGGCAGGGTGAGGTCAGAGGATCTGTGACAAGGAGGCAAGGACTAGAGAGCACACCGAGGAGGCAGAGGAGAGGAGAGCAGCTTGGGAAGAGAGCCTCCTCGGGCAGCTGGCTCCATTTGATTTCCCATTTAAAGGGGAGGCTTAGATAGCCAAGAAGAAAAAGGCTAATAAGAAAAATATTAAACTGCAGTGTGTGTGTCTCCAGGGACTTCCTGTTGCCATGACTGACCTCCCAGAGAGTGCCATTCGTTCCCGAACATGGCAGCTTTATAGGCACTTGTAGGCCTGCAAGGAACACCAATTTGCTGCTGCAGTTTGTTTTGATAACTGAAACTTTCAATAAATCTATATTAAAATCAAAGAGAAAATTAACTAGGCCCCAGTGAGGTGCACAGAGATAAGGGAGCACATTACTACCCTGGCCTCAGCCACCCTACATCTGTCTCTTAGTTCAGATTCAGGTCACCAGGGAGATGAATGGCTCAGGCTCCTGGGGAACAGCTCTGGGGAGAGCAGGGAGAAGGCATGGCCAGGTCTGGCCCCCACTGCTCTCTAAGCAGCAGAAGACTGCTGAGGTTGGAAAGACAGGCATGGTGCTCATGGTGCAGAGAGAAGTTGGACAGAGGGGTGGGAAAGAGTGAGGACAGTAGTAATCATAGCCACAACTTAATGAACTCTATGCCAGGTATGGGGTTAAAAATCAAATAAACACTTGTGTATTTAATTCTAAGAACAGGTAGGTATGAGTGTTATCTTCACTCTAAAGATAAAGATACTGAAGCTGGGTATGGTGGTGCACATCTGTAATGCCAGCATTTGGGATAATTGCGAGCTCAAGACCAGCCTGGGCTACAAAGTGACCTGAAGGCCAGTGTGAACTGTATAGCAAGACTCTGTCTCAAAAAGACAAAAACAAAACAAAATAAATAAAACAACAACAACAAAAAACAGGGCTGGGGAAATAGTTCAGTGGTCTAAGCATCTGCCTGGCAAGTGCAAGGACTTGGTCTTGATCCCTGGTACTGCATGCCATGCCAGCCAGGCCACTGAAACTGAGTGTTGTGACACATGCCTGTAATCCTGGTGCTGAGGAGGCTGACATAGGAGGATCATTATGAGTACAGTCTGAACTGTACAGCATGACCCTGTACCAAATAAATAAATAAATAAATAAATAAATAAATAAATAAATAAATCAAACAAACAAACAAGCAAAACCAATAGAGATAAAGAAACTGAACCTCAGAGAAGCATGTGACTTGTATAAGATCACAGATAGAGCCAGGACTCAAGCCTGAATAGGCTCTCTCCAACCTTACGCTCCTCATAACTGCACCGTCTTGTCTTATGTGGCTTATAGGGACTGTGAGAACCGTATCCATTTTCCTGTTTCTCAGATAAAATGATTTCAGAATGTTTGGGTTCTCCAAACTGTGCCATGTTTGGGGGCTGCCAGGCACTGTTCTTGGGTCCTGTCTTCATTGCTCTTAAATTGCTGGCCACCAGCTTCGATGGCTACCTTGCTGTTTCTTCCTGGTGGGTTAAAGGTCAGTTGAACCAGTTTGGCCCTGTCTTTAGCTCCTGCTCTCAAGGTTCCCTTTAGACAGTTACTTAACCTGGAAGTTGCAAGGTTGCCAGGGTGTCTCTGAGTCTATGTACTAGTCTTGGTTCCCTACCTCCCTAAATATGCTTGTCCTATTTATACTCTGATCCAGGGCCTTGGCCACTGCTTACTATGGCCCAGCTGCCACTACCATCACCTTATCTGGCTATCTTATCTTCCTCTGGGATGAGGGTTAGGTTTTGCCACAGTCTCCCATGTGCCCACAGTGGAGGTATGCAGTGGAACCAATTTCACCGAACTACAGACTTTGACTTCCACCATTTCTAGTCTCAGATGAACCATTGTACTTTAAAATGTGGAATCTGTCACTCCTTGTGGCTACTAAAATGATGGGATAACACAAGCCTTTCTTTCTCCCTGAGAAGAAATCCTTCTCCATTGCTCATCTAGAAATAATTTGTATGACAGAGTAATTAGCTGTATTTTCTGTGAAACATTGGCCAACTTGGTAATGCACTGCCTTATATTTTCACTCCCTCTTACCCTGGGTCACTTCTTGAACCCATTACTCTTGCTGCCCTGGGTTTATACTTCACAGTTAAATCCTAGCATACAAGCTTTTCCTTCAGCTTTTTGTTTTGTTTTGCAGTACTGGGAATTAAATCTAGGGCCTTTCTCACTATCACTGAGCTACATCTCCAAACCACTTTGAGAGAGAGTCTTTCTAAGTCACCCAGGTTGGCTTCAAATAGCTGGGGCTGTAGGCATGTGCCACCACACGTGGCTCAGGCTCTGTTTCTTAGTTGGTCAAATCACACACAACAGAGCCAAGGTTTGAGGGAGCCAAATACTGGACTAGGTAACAGTGCAAGATATTGTGCCTAAACTGAGCTTTTAAATTGTTCTATTATTTGAGTGCATGTGCCTATTTTTTGTCCATAAACAGCTTGTAAATTGGTAAGGTCCTGGAACCTGTACAATTGAGTACTAGGGCACAAAAAGGGAAGGCTCACAGTCTAGAGGGAGGTCAAATTAATCATGGAAGGCTAAGTGGAAAATATTTGGGTTGTACCTTAAAAAGGCCAACCATGTAGATAGGTAAAGTATTTTCTTTGTATAGTTAAAAAGGTCACCTGTATCTTATTTAGGCCAGAATTTAAGATATAACAAAGCCAGAGAAAGAAGAGGTCATCTTTTGGGCTTTTGTTTACTTTATTTTGTTTTTGGGTGGTATTGAGGATTGGATCCAGCCCCCATGCTTCCACTTTTTTTTTTTTTTTTTTTTTAAAGACAGGCTCTTGCTATGTAGTTCAGGCTGGCCTTGAACACTCTTTGATATTCTTAACTCAGCCTCCTGAATGTTGGGATCACTCAGTTTTGGGCCTTTCTTATTTTTGAGACAGAATCTACCTAAGTGAGATTCAGGTTTGCCTAGAATTTAAGCATTCTTCCTCTACTTTTTGAGTAGCTGGGATTACAAGCTTGTGCCACAGCACTTAGCCCTTATTTTTATACTTACTTGTCTACTGTTTTCTCTTTCTCCTTCATCCCCTCTCATTTCTTTGTGTTGCTTAGTCCCTTACTGATTCACAAGCAGTTCTTACATGCCAGCTCTATGCTTGGTACCTACAATATGGAAACAATACTTATACTAAAGTAGCTTAAAGTCCTGGAGGAGGCACAACAAGGAAATAAGACAATTATAAAACTGATAAATTCTATACGAGCACAATGGCAAAAACTAACCTACTGTGTTGATGAGGTTAAGGAATACACTCCCTGATATGGGGATTACCAAGCATTTTCAGTTTAGGCAGGAATCAGGATGTTAAGATCTGAGAGGTGGTAGAGAATATTATCACCCTAAGTGAGCAAAAAGCAGATGGCAGACAGGAGTTGGTAACTGAAGCTGGCCCACAGGATAGGTCCTGATTGATTGAGAGGCTGTTAAAGTCCTCATTGTCTTGGTTAAACTGAGGTTTCCCTACTCATAACCTGATACCCATGGCTTCCCAGAGAGGCATAACCACGATGGAGAAGTATACCTCTGGCTTTGACGAGAGTTCTCTTCATGCAAGGAGACTGGAAGCTCCCCATATCTGCAGCCAGAATTCTTTTAACCCCACTATTTCCACTGATGAAACCTAAAACAAGTCTGTTTTCTCTTCCTTAGAAAGGCTCTTCAGAAATCTAAGCATTTTCTTCTTAGCCCAGTTTGCCTTCCCTTCTCTCCCAGATATTTCCCAGGCCTACATCCAAGAGTGGATGAATGTAATTACTTGTTGAATGAATGCACCATGAGGTAGCATCTAAATAGAATATATAACCTTATAAGCCTATACTCACCTTATGCATATAGTGAAAGGGGAGAAAACGCAGGTGGGCACCTGGATCTTTGAAGCTTTTGTTTTTTAAAAAATCCCTATGCAGTTCAGAAGTGACCCCTTCTCTTCTGAGAATGTGCACCATCAAAACTACAAGTCCCATAAGGCCAGTCTTTGCCAGTCACCATCTTGGCTCATTTTAGCGCGCATGTCGTCAGGAGAAGAAGCGTTTAGAGCTAAGAAGCCCCGCCCCATGTCTGCTTATTGGTCAAAGAAGCCGGCGGCGGACTCACCGGTTGGCCGTCGTGCCCGCCCGTCCGCTGCGTCGATCGGGGTCAGAGTGCGCGGAGGTGAGTCGGTGTGTTGTGGACTCGTGGTGCTGGCTGCCGCTGTTGAGGCGGCCGGGAACGGGCGGTGGGAGCGGGCGGAGCTGGCCCAGCCTCTGCCTGGCCGGCGACTGCGGCGCGGGCCGTGCCCGCCGCCGTCAACTGCCCTGAGCGCCTGCTGAGGCAGAGGGAGACGTCGGGGCCTGCATCTGGAGGGAGCCTGCCGCGCTAGCCCCTAGGAGGGGGCGTTGCCATGGCGACAGCCTCTCCAGCATCTGACGGGGGGCGGGGGCGGCCCTGGGAAGCAGGCCTGGTCTCCTGGCCCACTGCCCCTCCCCTTACTCTCCCCTGGACTTGGATGGGCCCGAGTTGGGGGCAACACCCTGGGGTGGGTGATGCCGATAGCTTCCCCCTCCCCCCAGCTTGGGCCCTGGCTTATGCATGCTGGGAGTGGAGTCGTGGTGGTATGCAGTTTGTGTAGCCTGAGTTGCTTGCCCCTGTGCTCACCTTGAATGCATGATATACTGAGTAATGTTCTGGTGCAGGGGGAGCGGGCAGGGTTTTGCAAGGCAGACTAGGTGAGTTGGTTGATAAAGGAGACTGACTTCTTGCTGGGGGTTACTGGAGAAGTAAAGGAGGTTTGACCAGGGAGGTTAGAAACAGAGCACGGAGATAGTAGATAAGGAGAAAACCCCAACACACACACACACACACACACACACACACACACACACACACGTTAACAGTTTAGCTCTGTAAATCTGAAGCGGTGGGAGTAGAGATGCTGAAAGGTGTCGATGAAGGCCTAACCCGCTTTGTTTGCCTTCCTACAAATGGTTCAGCAACAGGTGGTTTCTTAAAACAAAAAAAGGCATGAAGTTGGCTTGAGGCTTGGCTGTGAATTCTTGCAAAATATAATTGCACCTTAGTGACTTGGGGGATGCTGAATGTGAGGCCTCTCTTTGCAGGTGTGGAGTTTGTCATTAGGGCTGGAATTTGCAACAAACTGACCATGAATGTCTCTCCTTTAGGTCTCTGTCCACTTCTGTAGCATTTGCTCTTAGATATTTCTGAGCAGCAAAACATGAGTTCCCTTGGCTGAAGAGTATACTCTGTTTGAGGGGTAGTAGATTGTGATTGCTTGAATGATTTTTGATTGTAGAGTTTGTGCCAGCAATTGGCTTCATCAAATTCTGATTTATTCTGACTTTATCATACACAGCATACCTTGTTTTAGTGGGCTCATTCTTGAAGCTTAAGTATATTATACCTGAATCCTCTACCATTTAAAAGCCAATTTATAAACAAGGATTTGGAGTGTGACTTCACTAATACGTGCCTGTGATCTTGGTTAGAAACCCACTTGACTGCCTTTCCTCAGGAGGTGAAGAGGGGGGAAGGGAGCTGCTGGGAAGTGATTGATAAGGCTTCCTTTATGGATTCTGTGGTGCTTCACTGGAGCTCAGAGTGCTTTGGGAACTTAAGCACTCCAAATTAAAAGCTCATTAACAATTCCTGCCCAAAGATACTGTAAATAATCAGCTAGCTAGGTCATAGAGCTTGGCTAAGAGCTCTCTTTCCAACTTGAAAATTCCAAATAAAGGTGCTTTTATTCCCTTTCATTTTAAAAAGTGTTTTCTCTGTGGTGGGGTAAGTTGGTGAATTGCCTTTTCCCAGGGGATTGAAATAGACTAAAGACTTAAATGTGTAAATGGCAGAAAAGAGTATGTTGGTTCCAATCATAGATGTTTCTGTGGAGAGGGCATCACTAACAAGAATGATTTGTACAGCTTCTTGTCTTTTGAAAGATCCAACTTAAGTTATAAATATAAGTTTATATTTTGACTCAGGATTTGGTTACCTTGACTTCCTTAGAACTTGAAAGAGATCTGGAACTATCTTGAAAGTATTTCCTGGTCTATATGGCCATTTGCAATATGGCTGTCAGGATTGTGGCAACAGACTCTTCCCTCAGTCCTGAAGCCCAGGTTCAGTTCTTAAGTACTGAGTATTGTCAGTGTTACTAATGACTCCTTCTTGTGGACACAGAAGTCTAGAAATTATTCTGCAGCCACCTTCTGCAGTCTGGGTTTAGATACTATAAATGTTTTGAGTTTCTAGGAATTAAGCCTTATTAGGAAGAAAAAGTATGCTACTAGAGAACATATATGTCATTCTAAAAACAAATATAGCCCTGATAGTTTCTGACAGTTCTGTAAGGGCAGTGTCTTTCCACATAGCTTTCTGCCAAAGTTTGTGTTTAGGAGTTTGAGTATTAGTGTAATCCTTGTGGGGATTTGATCTTTTGTATTACAATAAGACTTGTTGCAGAGATGTGTGTTTGTCCACAGCATTGGGGCTTTCCGGCTCTCACAGAACCTTCACCACCCCCAGCTGCCAGTCTTGGTATCTTCGAAGTAAGAAGAGGTGAGAATTCTGTTGCATGTTCAAGTTTGGCTTGACTTCTTCCTTTTGAGTATATTTAAATTTGGTGGATATGGGGTGGGGGTTGATGCAGATTGTATTTTTATGTAGCTTTTTCTGATAAAGCAGCATATGCTCAAAACCTATTGAAGATTACCCAACATTTGTAGAGTGAGAGTTGGAGGTAGTGGATCCAGACTCTAATTCTGTCATGATTTCTATAATGAGTATCTCATAAATTTAGGTTCAGGATGGTTGAATAGAGGCAGAAAATAGTTCCTTTATCCTAAGAAATACACACATTAATGCACTTGGAAGAAACATGTTCATTTGGTTCTTAATAATGTTTTTGACTAGAGCCTTTGGAACCTTGGCTTAACATGTTTTTGTGTCACTTTTGAGTAGATGGCTAGTCCTAATCTATCTCCATTTTGCCAGGACCAGGGTCTGGTTGAAAAGGTAGATTTAGGATTAGACTGGTGGTGGGTGGGTGGAGGATGGAAAAAAGATGGGAAGTTGGCAAAAGTTTCCAGTAAAGGACAAGATAGTATATATTTGGACTTTATGGGTCTCGGTTACAACTACCCTACAGAATTCTGCAGTTACGTATGAAAGCAACCATAGTATGAAAATAAACAAACATGATAGTGTACCAATAAAAATTTACTTAATAGAAGCAGGTGGCACCTGGATTGGGCCCATGGACTATAGTTTGGTGACCCTGGATGAGACTTAACAGTAAGAAACTGTTACATTTTAAGCAGTAAATGATTGACATTAAATTAAATTTATGTTATAAAGAGTTTGCTTTGATGTTAGTGTAAAGAATGGATTTACTGGAATAGATAATACTGGAAGTAAAGAGACCAGTATGGAGGGAGTGGCAATTAATTTGGTAGCATTTTGTATTTTCCCTGTTGTGGCAGTATTTTGGACCTTAAAAACAAAGTATAACTGAATCTTTGCATACCTGTACATATTGATTTTCTTTCTTTCTTTCTTTTTTTTTTGGTATCAGGAATCAAACTCAGGATCTTGTGCTTGCCAGGCAGGCAGTGTACCTCTGAGCTATATCCCTAACTTGGTATTAGTTTTCTTTAGTAACTTTTTGGCCATCTATTAAACCTAAAGTTCTGCCAAAAATGTGTTGGAAATGTCAGGTCCCATTTTGCAGACAGAAAATACATAGGAAGGGAAAACTAGTATAGAATGAATTAAATTTTTTTTTTTTTTTTTTTTTTTTGTATTTTAGGAAAGGGTCTATAGGGTGTTCAGGGTCTCACTACTAGATCAGACTTGTGATCCGCCTTTTACAGCCTCCCAAGAGCTGGGATTACAGGTGTGTACCACCATGCCCAGTCTCAAACCCTGAGCCCTTGTGCCTTGCTTGCAGGCGCTTTAAACCACTGAGCTATTTGATCAGCCCTTGGAAACTATTTTCTTTTAAAGGAAGTATAGCATGAATGGAACCCTGACTGGGCAGGATCTTGGTTTTAGGGCTCATAGTTTAATGTCAGTTGCTTTGAACTTGTTGAACTGTACACATCGGAACTGACCCATAATTTTAAGCTTTCTAGGGAATTGTCCTCTTCTATATAGGTCCTACTCATTCTTTCCTGTTCTTGTTTATAGCAGACTGATCATCTTTTCTTGATTTTTGGGAAGGTTCCCCCAATTCCGGTATCATGATACATGTGGGCACAAGGAGCAAATCAAGTATTTATTGAAGATCTATGAGTCCTGTTCCTGCTTTTTCCTTGTCTTTCTCTTATGAGCCTTAGTGTACTTGAATTGCTGGAGGGAAGTTTGTAGGTTTCTGATAGTGTTTAGTGACCTTGAACAAGTGACTCATTCTGAGTTTCACTTATCTATAAAGTGGAGATAATGAGACTTGATAGGATTTATTGAAGGCTTTACTAAGGCATATAAAGTTCTTAGCAGAGTGTCTTGATATATTTTGTTATGAATAGTATTTCACACAATTAGTGATCATTTAAAAAGGTGGCAGTAGCTGGATGACTTGGCTTTTGGTTGAGTAGGTATTAGGTCTGCACAGTTGTCATTTTATCCATTTGACAGGAACAGCACCTCGTGCTAGAAGCACCAGGAGAAAGTTAAGCATAAAGCAAGGCACTGCTCTTCCTAATAAAAATTTGCACACAGCAAGATTTCCATTCCCAGAACTTTTTTAAGGTGTACCTTTTTTTCAGGGTAGTCCCAATACCATCTGTAAAGTGAATTAAGTCAGCAGCTTTCCGACAGAAATTCACCAAAGTGTGACCAGTGATTCTTCCCTGTCTGAGGTCATTTATTAATGCTGCCACCTTTGTGGTCCTCTATCTTTGTGAAGTGCCTCTCCATTTTTTTTTTTTTTTTTAATTACTTCTCAGTACTACTCTAGGAAGTAGATCCAGTGGTCAGCATTTGTTTCCTTGCTACCATGTGAGGCTCAAGAAAGTTAAGTGAGTTGTCCAGGAACATGCTGTGAGGTACTGTAAAATCTAGTGCAGATTTATCTCCAGATGAAATTGTGTTAGTTTATTGCTGTGATTTCTCTTCCCTTGAGTGAAAGCTGTGTAATCACAGCAGAACTGCAGTCTGATGCATGGCTCGTTTAGATCTAGGTTTGATTTGAGTTCCCCTTTATGCATTTGGTTCTGTTGCATTTTATTTATTTATTTGGTTGCATTTTAATTGCTGACTGCTAGGACCAGATCTGCTGGGAAGCAGATTTCCTTTGGGTTGTTGTTTTTAGCCTTGCCTTCTTTGGGGACATTCCTTGGGGATCCTTGGGTTACGAGGGATTGCTTTGATATGTTCAAAATTGTGCCTCATGCCTCACAGCTACAGGTAAAATCAAAAGGCAGATAATTTATGGGAGTGTCAAAGCTGGCCTCTGGCACCTCAGGAGGCCATTAGTATGCCTGTTCAGACCCTCTGTGTCCTTGCAATTGATTCCTCTTTGCATGAGCCTGATTTGGGAAGCTGTAGATCTGTGGGTAGTGATTGGATGTGACAGTCCAAACACCGGTCTCTAAATTAATCCTTTTGATAGTATTCTGGCAATATTCTCATTCCTATTTCCATTCTCTCTCCTCCCCTTTCTATCTCTGTCTGTCTGCCTCTCTCTCTCTCTCTCTCTGTCTGTCTCTCTGGATCTGTCTCTGTCTCTGTCTCTGTCTCTCTGTCTCTCTGTCTCTCTGTCTCTCTGTCTCTGTTTGTCTGTCTGTCTCTGTCTCTTTGTCTCTCTGTCTCTCTGTTTCTGTTTCTCTCCCTACCCACTTCCCTGAAAGACAGATTGAGTGGGTTTGGAGAAGGATAGAGAAAGAAAAGAACCTTTGTTGGTGCTTGGGCCGTGAGCTGTTCTGGCATGTCTGATTCCAGAGTAGTTGGCATCATGATTTTAGGTGTGTTAATTCATTTAAGCCTACATTCACACTTTGTGCGTGGTCCTGTGTGAAGTGCTAGGAACATAAGAATGAATAAAACATAGTCCTTGCCCTTAAAGATCTAATTTAGCATTTCTCAGCTTTTAAAATGTATTCACCATTTGGATTAAAAACTGATGTCTTACTTTTCTTTAATGCTATACACATTTAAAAATGTGTGAAAGGGTCTGATAAAAAACAAGTCAAAAATTATATCACATATTCTTTTTTTATAAAAAAAAGTGCACATATATACCTCTATTGGTGTCTTCCAACCTTTTCCCCTAACTTTTTGAAAATTATTGCTAGTAGGTACAGCAAATATCTGACACCTTACAATATAAATTTACCATGTGTGGTGTTATGCACCTGTAATCCCGGTTACTCAGGAGGCTGAGGAGGACAGGAGGATCATAAATTTGAGTCCAGTTTGGGTAACTTAGTGATTTAGTCAGACCCTGTCTCAAAAACCAAAAGATAGTTTAGATGTATCTCAATGCAAAGGCCCTGGGTTCAGTCCCCAGGACCACAAAAGGAAACAACCTGTTATTGGGTCACACTTATGCAATTAACTTTATGGTGGGGTATCAGAGATAAAGCTACTAAAAGGAAACTTGTGCTGGGTTTTCAAGGAGTAATGATTTCTTTGGAAATGGAATTGTGCTCCAAAGCAAAGGGAGTAGCATAAGGTGTAGACTGTAAGAGGAAGTGTCACATTTAGAGACCTGATAGAGACCTGAGCAAGAGCTGTCTGTAACCTGCGTGTGCCTCCTGTCAGCTTCTCACTCTGTAAGATGGGAAGATTTGCAGTTGTGTTTAAGAAAAGGCTTTGAGCTCCTCTCACTGCAGTTGCTTTAATTCAAGGCACCCTTTCCTGTTTCTGCTTTTATGCTCAGGGCTGTTAATTTGTTTTTCTTTTAAAATATAAAAAATTATAGCCAGGCATATGGCATGCACCTGTGGTCCCAGCTCTCTGAGGGACTGAGTCAGAAAAATTGCAAGTTCAAGTCTGGCCTGGGCAATTTAGTGACTTACTGAGACCCTGCCTCTAAGTAAAAAAATTGAAAAGGGTTGGGGATGTAGCTCAGTGTGAAGATCTTGGGTTCAGTTCCCAGTACACACACACACACACACACACACACACACACACACACGCACGCACGCACACACGATTTTTATTTTTTTTTTTCCATTCTATATACTTGGTGCAGGGTCTCACTACACAGGTCGGACTAATAATGATCTTCCTGCTTTTAGCCTCCCTAGTGCTGGGATTACAGGCCTGTGCCACCACACCGGAACTTGGTCACTGGCTCAGTGTGCCCTCAGGTTTGGGGCCAGAGTGCAGCATGTGGGACTGAGCTGGTCCCTGGTCCCTGCGCTTGCCAAAGTAGGCACTTATTCCACTGAGCTGTCTTGCCAGCTCTACACACACGACTTTTATATAAACATAAATCAATATGAGAACAAATTTGTATGATTCAAACAGATTTAATTATTAAGAGTAAGTTACTTTTGATTAAAATCACACCTTCCTCCAAAAGAATAATTGAAATTCACAGGCGTTGGTAGACC